CCCCCCGCTAGCCCCATTCATCCCTCTGACTATAAACCAACCAGCTGATTCATTGTTGTTTTTATTGTTAGCACTTTTTAACTCTACCTTAATTAATTGTGTCAAGAGACTTTCACACACAAGTAAAGAACATTATTCCTCAGCCAGCCACAGCACACGAGTTGAAATTGAGCACACCGAATGTCCTTTTTTAATGATTGTGAAATTAGATTAAATAAAATGTTATAAAATACTATACATTTTTTAATATAAAATTATTCCGAATTTTATCTCTTCATATTTATTCAAACTTTTTTTTTGAAGTATAGATTTAATGAGGAAAATGATTGGTGAATGTTCAAATTCTGCATATCTTCGACGTATTCGTCTACGATCTACGTGCACTTTTACGTTTATCACATTTTGAGATTAGTGGAAGCATCTGGAGCTTAGGCGGGGTAACTAGCAGGGACCTGAAAGCTTGTTCTCCTCAAGGCCATGTCTCATTGAGCCTGACACAGCCTGATGTATCTCCCCCAATTCACCCTCCTCTCGTATGAAACAAATTGTACAGGGTACAAATGTGCGTGGAAATGGCGGGAAGGCTGCTGTAACGCTTCCTCTGTTCCCCTGTCATTAGCTCAGTGCCACAGAGGCTGGGATTGATTGTTCTGCTGCGATAAGATCATCTAATATTCATTAGAAACTATACAAGAACTGTATTTGTTTATAACCAATCTTAATTTGCTGAGTGCTCTGCTAAATGTACTGAATGTTGGCTAAGGTCTGGAAAATGAAGCTACGCTAGCATAGAACAGACAGCCTTAAAATGAGCAAGTTAAAGAAAAACTGGATACAAACCACATACAGGGGTGCAATAAGATCTACCAAATATAAACGACACAGCATGTGTAATATCTCTCGATTTAATCTGTTATATATAGTGCTTCACATTTCCCTCATGTGGCTGACTTTTCATTTCTAGAAGATCTAGAAATGCCCAAAGCCACACTGTAACAAACAAGTCCATTTGCAACATCAGTAATGATTGGAGACCCTCCAATGTGACCTAATCGTTTTGATCTAGGAACACAAGTTCTATCATTAGAAACTCGCTGCTTACTAATGATGTAGTTATTTTGTTTCACATAAGCCTTTTTTTTAGAAAATAGTTTTTGTTGTTGACAAATTTAAGAGATTTATTTAAACATACAATTAATTATTTAATGCATCGGTAACAGGTTAAGTCAAAAACAGTATGGCTTTACATTATTTTGCATATATTTTAAATATAATATAATATATAATATGTAACTTTTTCCAACTTATGAACTATGAGCATTTGAATAGCTTTCAAACTGCCATTTGATGTGAAGCAGCTACAGCAATATGTCACAACACATTAAAGAGCATCAAAATTTATTATTTGAATCTAATGATACAACTGATATAATTTGAAAGGTTAGACTTTGTTTTATCCCCAAAATCATATTAATATATTTAAATTCAAGCTTCAACTACTGAATTGCTGTTTTGAATGCGTCTGCTTTTGCTCAGCCAATGCAAAAGGTTTCTAACAAAGCTGCAGCAGAACTGTTGAATTACTGTTTTGAACAATCGGTTGAGTGAATAATTAAATGACTCATTCACAAAGACAGTCAGTTCAGGTTTTTGAACAAATTGGTTCAATGAATGATTCAGTGATTCAGCGAATCACTCATCATTTTTTGCCACCTACTGGCATGTCAATGTAACCTGTGATAAGAGTCACTGAGTAATCGCCACCATTAATGCATAGTATGATACAAACACTGAAAAGTCTCAGTCCTGTTGGATTATTACCAGGGACTGGAATTAATTGTTGCATAATGTTATATATGCACTGATAAAGCACTTGAAAAGTTGCATTATTCTGTATTATATCCTCCTGTGGAATCCTTTCAAGTAGCTGTGGCAGGCAAACACACACTCTAGTAAAAGTATGAGAATCTCACCATGCGCATCAATAACCATGATAAGCTCAGTATGTCCACATGCACTCCAGACAGATACAAGCAGTCAGGAGTCAGTGGAGCCCTATCTATTCCTCTCTCTCTCTTTGTGAGTCATAATGATAAATTGTGGCCGCTCTCCAGATACGGATCTCAGCATTAAAGTCCTGACCACTGCTCTCGCCGCACCTGCACACCCTGTCAGTTTCCCTGAGGTTAGTTGGCCAAGCCTAATGGAGCTTCAGAGACATGTAGATGCCCACAGCCCCTGTCTGTCAGAGATGACAGCACTGGTGACTAAGGGGCCCCATTCAGCCGTCCCGATCTGCAGCTAATCACACCGGCTTTAAATACAGCCCAGATGCATCACGGCCCATGAAATGGTTTGTTAAGGGGCCGGCCACGCAGTGGGAGTTTCGAATTACCTGGTGAGTCATTATGGAAGGACTTAGAGGACGGAGGTGAGCTGTGAGGAAGTGGGAGGGTGAGGAACATGAAGAAAGTTGTGAGAAGGAGCTGCTGTAATGTATGTGTGAGTGCAGGGAGAGGGAGGTTGGTATTTACTACAGCCTGCAGGCCTGGTGTGGAGAACAGCGGGGTCAGGGGACCAGTAAGCCCTGGAGAAACTGAGAAAGAGCAGAGGTATACAGATGGACTTGTCCGTTAGGGTTTGTGTTTACTGTGGACTGCTATTAGGAATTGTAAATGAAGCTGTGCCTTCTCAAAAAAGAATGAATGAGGGGAAAATATTACACTTCATCATAAGCTATATATAAATATTTAGTCAAACAGCACAATTGCAAAAATAAATAAATAAATAAATAGATTTTGCTCCAGTTCCAGTGGGTTTAGATTTTGATTTAGATTTAGCTTTTTTTTTCTTCTTCTTCTTCTTTTTCTTCTTTTTGCTTTATTTGCTTCCCAAACAGGGGTACTGAATCAGCTCCTAGGGGGTAGTTTAAATTAATTAATTAATTGATTTATTTATATTCATTTTATTTTATATTTCTTTGATAATTAATGTGTAGGTGTGACACTGTAATAGAAAAACAAAATAGAAAAAAAAATAATCCTAGCAAAATTTAAAGCTTAATTTTCAGCTATTTTGAATTAAATTATTATTGAAAAAAATCAAGATGTTAAAACTCAGTCAAGTGTGAAATAAAATCAAAGACAAATTACAGAAATTATGGTGACAAGTTAAGAATATGGAAATAAAGGTATTTAATTTAGATAAATATTGTTATAATGATGAAAAAAAATTTTATAGTGCAAGTATGATAATTTGTGTTGATGGCACCCTATGCATTTATCTGAAGATGCCAGACAGATGCAGAGTATTTCAAGCAGACAGCTATATCTCACACCGTCATTGACTATGAAACAAAGCTGCTCAAATCAGCAGGCATGCAGTGCCTTGCGAAAGTATTCATTAATTTTTTTCACGTTTTGTTATGTTGCTGCCTTATGTTAAACTGCTTAAATGTACTTTTTTTTCCCACATCAGTCTACACTCCATACACCATATTGACAAAGCAAAAACAGAATTGTCAAAACTTCATAAATTAATTAAAAATAAAAAAACTAAAATAAGTACATTGCATAAGTATAACTAAATATTTAGCTGAAGCATAAATAATTAGCTAAAGCACCTTTACAGTCTCAAGTATTTTTTGTTTGATGCGACAAATTCCTTCAAACATGATGATTAGATTTGAGGTTCATCAGACCAGAGAATATTATTTCTCACAGTCTGAGGGTCCATTAGTTGCTTTTTTGCTAATTCTAAGTGTGTTTTCATGTGTCTTCACTGAGGAGAGGATTGAGTCTTGCCACACCGCCATACAGTGATGTTTGTCCTTCTGTAGATTGCTCCTATCTCTACATATGATCATGGAGCTCAACTAGAGTGGCCATCAGGTTCTTGGTCACCACACCAACCAAAGCCCTTCTCCATCAGTTGCTCAGTTTGGCCAGGAGGCCAGCTCTAGGAAGAGTCCTGGTTGTTCCAAACATCTTCCATTAAGGGTAACAGAGACTACATGCTTCTGTGAACCTTCAATGAAGCAGAATATTTTTCTGAACTCCTCCCCAGAAGTGTGGCTTGACGCAATCCTGTCTCTGAGTTCTACAGGCAGTTCTTTTGACCTCAGGGCTTGGTTTTTGCTCTGATATACATTATCAGCTGTTAGACCTTTTATTAAGATGTGTGTGCCTTTCCAGATCATATCCATTCAATTGAATTTGCCACAAGTTAACTTCACTTGAAGTGTAGTGACATCTACAAGCAATATGAATGCTCCTGAGCTAAATTTTAACTGTCCCAGATAAGGGTATGAATACTTACGCAATGGAATCATTTACGGTTTTTATTTTTAATAAATTTGCGAAGACGTTAAAAACCATTTTTTTGCTCTACCATTATGGTGTATGGAGTATAGATTGATGTGGAAAAAAAGTAATTTAAAGCAGTTCAGCATAAAGCAGCAATATAGCAAAACGTGGGGAAAAAATGACACTGTATGCTCTTGTGACTGCACATGTTTGTTTGGCCTTTTTGCCTTACTGAACATCTGATGTTACCGTTCCACATGTTGAAATTACTCCTTTCTCCATCGTTGGCAAAAAGAAGTAGTGTAGTATGACAGCGCTACATAATTAATCCTCAGATATATGCATGAGAGGAATAAGAAAGTAGGTTGAGTCACCAACATAAGGCTGCTGCTTTGTAATTAGATTATGCATATTTAATAGCTATGATTATGACATGTGCGTCCCCTCTTTTGGAGCATTCGGCGAATCGTGAGCGCCGATGCCGTGAACTCAGAGCGAATGAATGCGACGTTGTCTCCAAAGTCACTCCATGCCTCTTCATCTCCATGAGATTCAGTCGTACAGTCTCTGTCACAGCACATAACATCAAACCAAACCTCCCTCCTCTTCCCCCCACCCTCGCTCTTTTATTTCTTGCAAACACATTTTATAAAAAGTCCAAACAGCTGTTGTCGACGTGCCCATGTGAGCGAGTGTGTGTGTGTTGTGTTTCTAGGGTGGTTACGCTGCCTACCGATACACTCAGCCTGCTACTGCTACCGCCGCTGCCTACAGTGACAGGTAAGACACACACCGCTGCCTGCACACCATTGACAACACCATCTTACCAGGCCCTCCGGTGGGGCCCTTAACACCCACCCACCTCCCCCACCGAGGCAGCCTCGTTCTCTCTCACCCTTTACTCCTCTGAGGTCAAACTCTCTCCCTTCGTCACGGGCAGAGGCAAGCGCAGGCATGCAAAAAAAAAAAGGCCAGCCTGATTTATTAGCCTAATTCCCTTTGCCAGTGGTGATGGGGAATAGCACGGTGCCCAGTGCAGTAATTGGCAAATTAAATCAAATGAGATGTCACTGCAAATGTATTGGTGAAACACATCCATGGCGGAGCAACTGTAACTGCAGAATGAAGTGGGATAGACCTGACAGTTCCTCAGAGATGAGACAAAAGCCTGTTTGGCAGGGCGACCAGAGGAAGTCGTCTTGGCTGATTCTGATTTTGATTTCCTTTTTTTTCTTTTTTTCCCTCCCTCTCTCTCTCTCTCTCTCTCTCTCTCTCTCTCTCGTCAATTGTGAGTGTAAGCTTATTGCAGATGGCACGCAATCAAGAATAAAGCAAATTTGGAGCCTCGATGTGATTGTAAAACATTCGCATGACACAAAAGCATATCTGCTCATGACTGTTAATGGCAAAAAATGATCGTAATGCTGTCATCCGACATGTAGCTACTGACAATGTGCAGCCATAACTAGATGAAGCAACACTTGATTATCATGTCATCTTAGCAGTGCTGTCATAATCTCTCAACGGTGTCCCTGCATGCCTTTTGATAAGTTGTGTGCTGTGAATCTCACCCGACCGGTTTTGAGTGGTGCTCATCATCATTACATCATGTTTATGTAATCATCATGGGAGTGTTTGTGCGTGCATAGATCCCAGTGTCCACGGTAAAGGCAGATCATTAGCTAGCTGCGAATGGGGACCAAATGCACCCAAGTGCACTTTTTGATGTCTGTCGGCCGTGAACTGCATGTCGTAGTGTTTGTAATTGTTGCCAGGCTTAAGATCAGTGTGGTTTCATGATCGGTTCAATAACCACATGTGTCCTCCTCACACGCGGGGGACTTCTCTGGATAAATACAGTCAACTGTCCTCAGAGATTAAAGTCAGACCGTCTTAAGAAACCACGGTATTGATTCCAAGGGCCTGTGTTGCTTTTCTGTGGCTTCTTGTTATGAGAAATCTTTTATGGTATAGCGGTAATTAGATTTTCTGTTGGTTCGATAACTCTATGCTTAGGCAATCATGTAATGATCTTATGCACCAACTTGTCCAAGTAAAACATTAAACTATTTTATTTATCTATTTATTTACTTAAGTAAATAAATGGAACAGACTCAATGTTAAATAAAAACAGAAAAGGATGTACAGTACCATTCAAAAGTTTGGGGTCGGCACGATTTCTTTTTTATATTTTTAAAAAAGGTCTTATGTGCTCACCATATTTGATCAAAAATGCATTTATTTGATCAAAAATGCATTTATTTGATCAAAAATACAGTAAAAACAGTAATATTTTGAAATGCTATTGTCATTTAAAATAACTGTTATATTTTCAAATGTAATTTATTCCTTTGATGGCAAAGCTGAATTTTCAGTGACCATGCTGATTTGCTGCTCATTTGCATGCTTATTATTTCAATATTGAAAACAGTTGTGCTTATTAATAATGAACTCTAATACCTGTTGTTTAAGATTCTTTGATTAATAGACAGTTCAAAAGAACAGCATTTATTTGAAACATAATTTTTTTGTAGAAATTATAAAACGATTTGACTGTCAATTTATTGCATCCTTGCTGACTGAAAGAGTTAATTAAAAATAAAATACTGACTTCAAATATTTGAATGCTAAGGTAGATACAGTCAGGAACATTTCAAAGTAGTATACAGTTCATGTTTACATTAATTAATTTATAATTAAGCATGACTTTAAAAATAGCTGTACTGCTTTGAAATGTTTTTGACCATATCGACATCTTTTCTGTTTTGATTTATCATGGATTCTGTTGCATTTATTGGGCAATAAATACATAAATAAACTGTTGTGACACTATACTGTACATTCAGTGACATCAGAGATTTTTTTTTTTTTGTGGTGCTTACTAAGCTAGGCATCAGTATTTCTATTGCTCATACTTATGGATTTGAAAAATCCCCAACCCTCAGTATCAGACATCTCGTGCATAACTCGTCCCACACCGCTTGTGCTACAGACATGAATAGTGTGTTTCAGCTATTGCTTTAACTGTTCTGTCATTAATACAGATCTTAGTCTCTCTTTCATTATGTTCTATGAACCCCCCAAAATTGCCCATGGTTCAGTTTGTATTAAAATGTAGTTATACTAGTAGACATAGTCATTCCTTTGCCAGTGGGCAGAGCTAATGCTCGAACTGATTAAATTCAAAAAGTTTCCTTAATGTTGTTTAGCTCGCTGCAGAAACCTGCTTGATTGATTATGCAAATGAAGAGGCCTCTCAATAACATTTGAATTATTTTGTTTACCTTTAGACACATTTTGAGAATAATAGCAGCTTTGGGAAATTGAAACCGCAGCCCAACATACAAATTAGGTCCCTGATACAAATTCCAGCTAAATTAGACTAGTCTTTCATAATAGAGATTATAAATGATTGTTATTGAGAAGTCATACATTTTTTAAATTTTTCGGATTTAAAATGATTGAATTATTCATTTGCAATGTAAATGACTTAGAATCTCTCTTCCCTCATAAAAATAAATTATTCATGTCTCAATGAGTAACGTTTTTAGACAGTTGGAGTTTAATCGTTCAGTCTACCTCCATTAAAATAACCTCTCAGCACTGTTAGATGTTATCACCTCGTGTGAAAGATATCATCTCTGATCTCCGCTAATCCTGCGAGTGTTTAGACTGCAGTTGATCTCTTGCCTTCCATGGTGGCAGATACCAATACCCCAAAGCTTTATCTTAACAGAATGGTGCACTCTGACACCCTGCCGTCCCGACGCCGGTCTCATTAGCTGTTAGCCATTGCTTCTGGTTGCTGCTCTTTGTCAGAGCTTCACTCGCTCTCCGTCAGAGATGTCCAGGGTCAGCCTTAGATCTGGAGGTGTTGCTAGGAGGCACAGTCTGGGTTAGGGCTGCTTCTTTCTCTGAAATCTCCTTTTAGCGCTCAAGGCTCAGCTGGTCCCATCTGAACAGCTGCGGGCTGGGGGCACATGGGTTAGGAGTACACAGTAGCCTTGCTTCCTACAACCCACCATACAAGCATCAGCTGACCTCTGTCCCCACAACACTTGTTCAAGAAAGGTTGAGGTGGCCCATCGTGTGTGTTTCTGGCGCTCCGAGTTGAACCCCTCAGGGCTGGGATAGCAGCTGTGCGGGAAGCTAAAGCAACTCTTTAAACTCTTGTATGAAAGGCCGTTTATTTAGTTTAAATTATGCTGCTAACACATACCAGGCATGCTCAGGGGTGTAAAAAGCACTGAGAAATTAAACTTGATGGACAGTATGGGATTCCACACAATTAAAAATCATGTATCAAGCTAAAAACCTGCTTCAGGGAAAGTATTTCTAAGTAAAATGTCAACTTTTTTTCTTAGGAAGTGTTGACACTTGATTGGAGTTATGTAAAGCCTCAAGTGTTTGTCATTGACAATAGTTATGATGTAATTAAAAAGCTTTGATTTGGATCAAAGATTATGTTGATGCTTTTTCCTCCCTTTATAAGGATGAATATATGAGGAATTAGTTTACGTGAACAAATTGCATTTCATTTAAAACATTCATATGAACATAATTTGACTTGTTAGTTCAGGAAGACTGACAAAAATGTACACTATAAATTGACTAAGAAATGAATAGTTCTTAATCACCAAATCAGCATATTAGAGTAATTTCTGAAGGATTATGTGACACTTAAGAGTGGAGTAATGATGCTGAAAATTCTGCTTTGTTCACAGGAATAAATTACTTTTTAAAATAAAATAGAAACAGTTATTTTAAAGCCGTCATGAATTGAGAAATCAAATTTTCCTTGATGTTTTGACATGTTAGAGGTCATTGTACAATAATTTACGGTGGCCGAGAGAGAGAATTGAAAAAACATTATAAGTGCACCTCAGGAAACATTATCAAATAATTAAAAAAATGCAGTTCATGACCCATTTAAACTGTAATAACATTTCACAATATTACCGTTTTACTGTATTTCTAGTCCAATAAATGCAGCCTTAGTGAGCATGAGAGACTTATTTCAAAAACATTAAAAGTACTGACCCCAAACTGAATGGTAATGTATGTTTGTTTCAAAATGTGAATAGTTTACTTAAATTGCATACTTCATGATGACTTCAGAAATACATTTTATACTTTGACTAGAAAGTGTTTTAAAATGTTTTAATTAGAAGTGGTATTGAGTAGGAGTGCAAATAATTAGTTTCAGGTAAACTAAACATTTTCCAAAATGATGCTTATTTGTATGAATGAAGTACAATTACTCAAATGATTTACACCCCTGAATGTGGGAAGTGCCTGTGACCCTTGATAGCTAATACGAAGAGAGGAAACTCTGTGAGATGTATGTGTCTTATTAGTTTAGTGTTGAATATTAAATGATAGAAATAAATTACTGAATGGCAGTTAAAATATAATATAGAAATATGTGTGATGTAGTCCAGTGTAGTACTGCTCATTTTTATTGCTTGTGACTTAAGTGTCTTCATGAAGTGCATGTTTAGTCTGTAATGTGTATGAATGGTCATATCTGATGCCAATACGTATCTGATTTTCTAAGGCACTATGAGTTATAGAAAGTGTACCATTTGATGCATGTGTTCAAATGCATGTCTGCATTGAGCTTTGCTCCCTAGAGTATATGTGTGAGTGTAACTGTGTGTGCGTGTGTTTGTGCATTGGGACGGTCAATACTGTCATGCCGAATAGAACATTGTATTCAAAACAAGCCCCCTAACATGATTAAGAAGGCCGATTCAATCTGAATGCTTAGTGGGAATGAATGATTCATTTAGTTATTAAAAATAGCTCCAAGTGGCAATTAAAAAGGGGCCTGGCAATATGGCGGCCAATGTCTCTAATTAGACATGTGATCAGGCCATGACACATCATTTGTCACACCTGTGCAGTGACTCATGAAGCCTGTGCAGTGCAACCAATGATACGGCTAATTCTAGTCATGTTTGTTTACCCAGAATGCACCATTTACCCACATCCTGTTTGCATTATAAAAAATTGTTTTAAATTTTTTTTTTATTATTATTTGCAACAGAGCTTGGATTATACTCTAGTCCTTTCTATGCTGTATATTCTATATGTTTCTATATTTTTCCTATTTAAAACTTGACTCTTCTGTAGTTACATCGTGTACTAAGACCGACGGAAAATTAAAAGTTGCGATTCTCTAGGCCGATATGGCTAGGAACTATACTCTCATTTCAATGATATTACGCAGCGCCTGAAAATAGTCCCCAGCTAGGTAACTTCCAATAAGCCTATTTTCAGGCGCTGCGTAATATATTTGCGCCTGCTGCACCCATGGTACGGCAGCAAAGTTCCTTGATTATTACGCCGGAATGAGAGTATAGTTCCTAGCCATATCTTTTCATTTTCCGTCGGTCTTAGTACACGGTGTAACTACAGAAGAGTCCAGTTTTAAATAGGAAAAATATAGAAACTCTTTGGTCATTTTTGAGCGAGATGCTAACGGTCTAATCAGATTCAATGATCTATGCTAAGCTACAGCTAAAAGTGCTACCGCCAGACCCAGAGATCTGCTGAATGGATTCGAAAACGGTAAAACTCAACTGTTTAACTCTAGGGGAGTTGGAAAATGAGCCTATTTTCAAAAATAGTGGAGTGTTCCTTTAAATCTGTAAACAGTTCATGTTAAATGTAAATTAAATAAATGTTCACAGTTCACAAAGATTCAGGGTGCACCCAGTAATTTTATATTTTTTTTGTTATTGTTGTTGCATATTGAACTTACTGACACTTAGTGGGGCAGATGCAGTGTCACTCAAAATTTTTCTGTAACTATCGAAGTAAGCCCTGATGACAACATTATTTAAAAATGTAATTATGTGACCTCAATACGTTAGCCCCCATGAGGTGACCCTCTTTGCGGAAAATATATATTATATATATTTAATATATTTAATTCAGCATGAATTGCCATTTTCAATTTAACAAAACAAAACAAAAATGTGGGGTGAGGTTTGTTTATTTCTGTTGGAAATTGATTGAATAAGTCCGAATGTGAGTTTGTAAAAAAAACAAAAAAAACTTTGTCTAAATATCTATTTGGCTACTGGCTTAAAAGTCATTTCAGAAGAAGAGCTTACATTCACATTAAAAATTATGAAAAATAAACATTAGGATTGTTTGATGAATAGAAAGTTCAAAAGAACAGCATTTATTTGAAAAAAAGAAACATTTTGTAACATTATAAACATCTTTACGGTCACTTTGTTCAGTTTATTGTGTTTTTGCCTAATAAGTGTGAATTAAAAAAATAAATAAATAACATCTTACTGACCCCATGAATTTTTCAAAATGTACCATCCATTTCTATCATGTATAACATTTTTTAATGAGGGTAAAAAAAGTGCACCTTGTTATTTTGACATTTTAAATAAACATGTCCATAGTACAGTGGGAGTTTTGCTTTTCTCTCTCTTCTCATCTCTCTCCCAAGAAAAGTTTATGTTATATGACAAAATCACTTTGATGTATAATATTATCTGCTTGATTTCCAATATCATCCGTGTATAATGGTCGCAGTCTCAGGTGTTTCTAACTGGCTTGACGGTTGGTTTTTATGTGACCGTTCAAGGCCATCCCAGTGCTATTCAGTAATGCTGTGAATGCAGTTCCTTGACTTTTACAGAACAATAGTGATGGAGGGAGGGGGTTTACAGAGGAGGGGACGTTTAGAGTGGCTAAATCAAACTGTCTCGCACACAGCTGCAGTTTCTATTGAATCGGCCCCAGTCCGAGGTTATGATTTAGTCTCATCTCTGATATACTGTATATGTCTTTTTTTGCTCCTCTTCTTTATTCCCGCATTTGCATCTCCAATCCCCCTAGCATGCTCTTCCCTGTTCCTCCATGTCGATATGAGCACTTAGAGCTCTGGTTCTTTTTGCTTGTGAGCTATAACCCATTTATACCCCCCCCCCCCCCCCCCCCCCCCCCCCCCTCCCC